ACTTAACTAAACCAACGATTTTAACTTCAACTTTGAGTACTTAACAACTTTAGTGACCATGAAGCTACTAGTATATTTAAACTTGTTTTGAGTTGTTGTCATAAAAATGAAATCTATATTCTTACAACGTTTTCCTCAATACTCGTTTAAATCAAGAAAGAAAAGCATTAACAATTATGGAAAGAAACTATCCTTTAATAGAGAAAACGGAAAACTGAAGCCGTGTGTGATTCTAATCTGAAGCTATAAGAGCGCATGAATACTAAGCATCTTACTTTTCAGGTTATTTGGTAATAGAAACGAAACAACATAGGTTCGTTCTGCTTTAAGCAATTCACCTTCTAAGCCTTAGAACAGTTTTTATCATTTATAGAAGAGCTGAACTGAGCTCTGAATCACAATATTGTATGGTAATTATCTTGATTTTGTTGCATGATAACAATGTTGCTGTATAACTGTTAGAGTGAGAGCTTCAAATTTCCAATTCACTGCGAACTTTATGATCGTTTTTATTGTTCTATATACTTTTTGATAATATATTTAAGGTACTTTTAAGCAAGTTAATGCACAATAATGGACTTATGTAAATAGTTATTTGTATTTTTATGCAAAGCAGAATATCACGTTACAGTTAGATAGAAATCGGTAAACTTATCACATTATTTACACTGATTAGATTAGGTCTCGTGTGTAACTTCCGTTATTATTAGGCATATAATGTTGTTTTATCTTGCTGATGATGATGACCTATCACAAAAATATTATATTATTTGTGTTCAATCGTAATAAACTATTAATGTATACGTTTCATTATTCCTAAAATTGTTTTTCTTCGCTCTGCTGAATTCCTCTTCTTAGAACTGTTCTACTTATTGTGTGATCATACTTTCTATTATGCCTTCTCTCAGTTACCTAAACAAATTTCATACGAAGGCCTTCATCACCATAGAGCTTCGCAACACAATTATTTTATGCCCAGTAGTTATGCATAAAAAAGGGGTCTAACTTCATCAGGATAGTATCATGTGAAACATTGTTTGTAGTCAATTCATGCAAATATTTAATTAGATATCGTAAGTTCCTTATTTAGAGTGAGAAAAACCTTTACAATTTTGACTGAATAAAAAGAAATGGATGTAAAAAACATAATGTGCACAAGGGTTTTACAGAAAATTTGATAGATAAAATAGTGATAGGATCATATTTAATACAAGTGCTGGTTCATAATAAATGTGGTTACATATATGTCTGCATCCAAAGCTTTAGAAGAAAAAAGTATAGTAAGTATTAAAAAGGAAACATGTCTTTAAAAATTCTCTTTCGTAACACCTGCGTCACTCTCTGTCTTCTTGAAGCTGTTTCATGATAATATATCATATATGTGCTAGATATTCTAAACGAAAATGTTGGCGTTTTTTGTTGTAACATTCGAATACGTAATTGTGTTATTTTTGTTTAATAATAAAAATATATTTTTATTCTAAATTATGTTGAGTTCTTGCAAACACTGAATGCAAGCGATGTATTTTAAATTCTTGCTCAACAAGTTCTACTACTTTTCATTATAAAACCTCAATACTGGTAAGAGTTGTTTCTTTACTGGGGTTTCCCCCACTTCATTTAGAACAAGTAATTCTAATTTCAAGGTATTGGGTTTTCTTTGAACTAGATTTTTCGATTTTTGGGAGCTTTTTGCGCTGTGTCGTAAGACGGTTTTCCTATCCTATACTATAATACATTCACTGTAACATTCAATCGTAGTCACTATCCTATGCTTTATGTATAGGACATTAATTAAAAGCACTTATATACAAATTACAGGTGATCTTAAGTTCAGCTTTCGTTTGTTCATTAAGTAACATGGTTAATTAGTTGGCAATGGTATTCACTCACACACGCACGTGCAATTACTAATCATTGCAACCATACCCCACTCGCTACACAAATTATAATTATTTGTTAGTATTGCTCTGCGCTCTATACATGGGCATTATACAGTGCACATTACACCCGGTAAATCTAAACGTTCAGCTCTTATCGTGTTTGTAAGAATGACTAATAGTGAAGATGGTGAAGGAAGCTCGGGGTAGTTGAACATAGATTAAAATGCCTCTCGCGAGCTTTATACATAACTTAGTATCCACATATGGCTCTATTACTAGACCAACATACTTTTACCTGGACGAGTACTCTAACCATTCCCCTGTATATATATATATATATATAAATATATATATCGAACATAATTGTTTCAGAATCGGTTATCATTTTAGTATAACGCAAAACCTCTCCAAAAGAGCATAGATTATCAGAGAAATTATAAAGTGAAAGCATAGTGAAAACTAAAAGGAAAATCAGACATGATAACCTTTAAAATCAAGTTTACTTATTGCAAACGAAATGGGGAAATCCCAGCAAACAATCAGCTCTTCTTAGTATTGATGTTGTGTGATAAAAGATAGCATAACTTGTTGAATAAAATGTGCAAAACGTTTTTTGCATTCAAAACTTTCAAGAACTGCTCATAACATAGGATAACAATACATTTTTGTTATTAACTAAAAACCACTTGATCATCCTTCATGAAATTGTTTGTAAGGTGATAGATAGATATATTCCCAAGTGTTTGTTTTGTTTTTGAATTTTCACGCAAAGCTGCACGAGGGATATCTTCGCTAGCCGTCCCTCATTTAGCACTGGAAGACTAGAGGGAAGGCAGCTAGTCATCACCACCCACCGCGAACGCTTGGGCTACTCTCTACCAAAGAATATTGGGATTGACCACCGCTATATAACGCCTATACTGCTGAAAGATGAAACATGTTTGGTGGGACGGGGATTTGAACACGCGATCCTCAGATTGAGAGTCGAATGCCATAACCACCTGGCCATTCTTGGTCAAATCTTAATAAGTGCAAAATGATAAAGAATTTAAGGGGTTAAATACAATCTTATTGAGAAGATCCAAATCGTCTAAATATTGTTAAAAATGTGAACAATATTGATGAAATACTCAAAATTATTCTTCAAATTAAACATTATCCTTACTTAAACTATATTTATTTATATTATGAAAAAATTATAAAATTTAATTCAAAAATTTCAAGATAGTTTAAATAACAATTATTACATATGTTCACATGAAATGCTCACGCAGATTAATAGTAAATTCCAAGTTCAATGATAAGAACTATTTGTTAAATTCCCAGTTTTAATTTCCTTAAAAACATGGGTAAGACCTTTTAATTCATTCATTATCTTCATATCTTTTTCAGTTGATAAATTGATAAGGTAAAAATATTTGGAATTCGTTCCAGCATCCATCCATTAGCACAGTAACTGTTCTATCACCAAACATAGTTTTATTTTTAAATTCCGAAACAAATAATTCATATACTGGATTTAATTCACTCAGTTTACGGGTTTTGTGGAATAGAATTGATCCAATAGCATTAAACATTTTTAACTGTTTTAAACTAATAAGAAATAAAATCTATATGCTTTCGCTTAGAGTTTTTCTCAGCTGCCAGAAGAACTCAATCTTCAAATTCGTAACATTATTAAAAGAAACGTGTGTTCGAAACGTTTTAACAAATTATTGGATACAATCTTCCGTAACTGGTATAGCTTAAAAAGCACCCAGTTTCGGTACTGATATTATTTAACCTGGCTGCTAACAAATCTAAATAATATCGTGAATAATGTAATTCTTTATCTTTCAACTAAATCTTCAGCGGGACATTTATCGTTATAATTCTAACCCACGTTCTTCATATACCAAGATTATCTGAAACCATACTATTATCTTACTGATTAGTTTGCTTATCTTAAAACTGGGGAACAACGTAAATGTAGTTTTTACGATATATGTACTTCTTGGTCTTTGTAGTTAAGCACAAAGTTACACAATGGGCTATCTGTGCTCTGCCCACCATGAGTAACGAAACCCAGTTTTTAAGCATCGTAAGTCCGCAGACATACCACTGTGCCATTGAGGGCACCTTTTGTTCCATCCTAAACATTACTTTTAATAGCTCTTACACCAGTACAGTTTATTTAAACAGCAGATTGAGGATTTAGAGTAAAATGTGAAGTAACCATGCCGAAATATCTCTTATAACAACTTTATCATGTTGAATGACTACATTTGTTTAAATCATGTCAGTGCTTCTATTTTGTATTTTGTTATTCTCGATAAATATAACTATTAGAATATAAAATTTGTTGTTTAAACCTTTAATATTCAATTCATATTTACCTAACTATTTACCTAGCTCTTGATTTTTTCTTTAGTGGGTTACTCAGAGTATTTTATGAATTTATCTGTTTTCAAACTTCAAGAACTTTATCTTTTGCATTGTTTAAAACATTAGTAAAAATACCACTCGCATAATATTTCTGACTTTTTTAACAAAATAAACTGTGTTTGTTATATTCCATTAAATATTACTTAAAATTAATCTATATACGACTCGTTGTTTGTTTAAGTGAGTTGGATGATCGTTTTGATCTGTAAGCTTCGTTCTTATTCTATAAATAAAATACGATCTGTTAACATCTGCATATATTGGATTTGTTTCTTCAATCATAATAAATCAAGAACAGAGAGAAAATATTTGGCTCAAATGCTGATATTTCGTACAGCTTCCCCTCATATAAGTCAATCTGATAATTTGATTATAAATCTCGAAGTTGCAAGTTGAATGTCAAATTTTATAGGAGGATCATTTACATTAAGTAATAGTTGCAACAGTTGTTCAAAAAGGACACATGAAAGTAATAATTATTTCTTTAGTCGGCAGTTCTGTTGACTCAATACCTTGGCACACTTTGATATCGTGATTCATGGAATAAATTGTTTTGTTTAAGTGCATATGAGAACCAGCTTTGTTACGCAATACTTCCAAGTGTTATGTAGTATAATAAAAAGAATTGTGATTTTGTTGATGAGGAAAAAGGCACGTCATCGTTTCACATAACTATATATATAAGATGATAAATTCATAGCCTTCTATCTGACTCAGATACGTTACCAGATATTTTGCTTCGGACAAGAACGTAAGTAACTTTTAGTAGCTTGCTATCTGACAAATTGCACTCATTATTGTACAATAATTTGCTTTTAAGTACTTTAAATATATTATAAAACATATATGTAACAATTATAAAGTTTGCAAAGCAATAAAAAATTCAACACCTCACTTTAATGGGTATAAACCAAAATGTGTACTAACTAACAAGATAATGACAAAACGAGCCACTCTTGAAGATCTGTTTCTGTCATAGTTTAAATTAGTTCTTTCCAAAACGACAACACTACTGTAATTTTATCTAATTTGATAAATCTGTATGTATATATCAGTTAAAAGTTATATGTTATACGTATCGTACGTTGATAACTTGAACTGAATAAGAAAAGATCTAGCCCTTTCTATTAGCATATCTTATAATATATATATATATATATATAACAGGATATCAATAAACCTGGAAGGACAGCTTCAAAGAGAATGTTCGAAATTTTCTGATGAAGCATTGATATTTTAATATTTAATATATTAAAAATAATGAGCTTTGAGATAATTGTCTTTAAAATCTCGCATAAAATTGTATTTAATCATCTTCTTTATGAAGGAGTAACCTTATTAACTAAGAAAATATCGCATTTTATCTGATCGCTTTCTCTCTTAAGCCCTGGTGGTTATATCTTCTTTTGATGACATTTTACTCATTTTAATTCTAATTAGAGTTATATACGAAAATTGAGTATTAGTATGACATGACTCAAAGTACGAATTTTAATGTTTTTTTTAGATCATTATCATGAACAAGTCAACGATCTTTCTTCTATGCCTGCTGCTACTGGGAGTTGTAATTGAGACTGAAGCCCACTGCAGATACCACTGTATACAAATTTATTGTAGATATGGTATATGCAGATACTTATGTAAATGGAGATGTTATGGTGTGGTTCCATTCGACGCAAAAGAAAAACCTGAAGGTAATAATATCATGTAAACAAATCAGATCTACCTATTAATATGTTTTCCCATCAATACATTATTTTAGTCTTATTGCTTATTCAGTTGTAATATATGTACACTTTTGAAAGAAATCAAATTTTCAAATGAACAAAACTTTTAAAACGAGCAGTTAGGTTACATCCTAGACACCAATAGACAATATTGTAATGCACCTTCACTATTTTTATTCGTTCAGGTAAAGGAGGCTCATTATATCAACACTTTGTATACGCTAATTGCATTTAAATGTCGCAGGAACTGCAAACTACGCCTTGCTAAAATACACGTCTGGATGTATAATTTATTACAGCAGTATAATGAGCAGAAAATTTATTGTGTGGAATATATTTAATGTATCTTAGGTATTTAAGAAACAATTGTGATTCGAAAACGATGTTTTTATTATATTAATGTCTCAACAGTTACTCCAACTTCTTACGATATTGAAATGCTGCATCAATAAGATTTGCAAAAGCATAACTTTATTGATTATACGAATAATTTAATCATTTTCGAACCATTTTATGCTACAGATAAAGAAGTGGAGTTCAAAGAGGGAGAAAAACCAAATGAATTTGATTTAGATGAATAGCCGACATCTATATACAATGGTATGTATATTTCCAGTTATTTGATAAATTTATGTTGGATTTCCTTCTTATGATTTTCAACTTATTTAGATTCTAATTATTCCTATCAGAAACTAACTCATACCAATGTAAACATAATTAACTGCTGTTTATTACTTGTAATCATGAACACACAAAATTAGAAATAGCTTTTGTTTCTTAAAGGAAGTATATTATTTTCTTCCATCGCCACTCTCGGTTTATTTGTTCTCTCTTCCGGTCTTTCTCTTTTGTTGAATTCCTGTCTTTTATATTTCTTTTTCAAACTCACTCTGTATATCGGGCTACAACGTTTCATAAACGTAAGGGATTTTATGAACTTGGAAAGGTGGCTCCTAATTCCGCTCATTCCAATAATTTACTGATAACCCAGAGTATTGTAATCCCCCAATCCATTAGAGACTGACTGACAATAGGCCGATTTCTCATACTCTCTTATTTTCAACCGATATTATCTTAAACCTAACTTTATAAAATTTTATATGAGGATTTTATGAATAAATTCTTTGAAATCTCAAAGATGCATAAAATGAAATAAAGATATAAATTGTTTTGTGATAAAAAGGAAACTGGAAAAGTATGATCTGTATAAATAAACGTCAATATGAGTGAGTGTGTATCTGTTCCTTATTCGTTTACTCATTTCTTGATCAATCAGCACCAAACTTGACACAGTGATAAAGGATGAGACGAGGAAAGCCAATGAGGGTTGGACCTCCACCTCTAATTTTATATTTAATTTCGGAAAAACTACCAATTTTGTATATTTCTTAGCATTAGAAACAGTATGTCCGTTTTTTCAGTATTGGTACCTTTATGTATTTTTATTGCACTTTTAATGTTTATTATGTTAAGAAAAAATAGAAGCACAATTTCTTATACTTTGTTACAAACGATTGTTTATTTTACCCGAATGGATGGGTTCTCTAATTAGTAACATATAAAATAACGTTAAGTTGTTCCTGTGTTAGGTGTAAACTTTTATCTGTGCTTCCAAAAAGTTGATTACTCATTTTATGTGTTTTATGTACTTAATACTTTCTTCGTATATTAAATTCGTAAATATCTAAAATTGTCTGAAACTACCTTCTATTAATATTACACTTATGTCCCCGATGGGACAGTGTTAAGTTTACGGACTTACAACTCTAAGATCCTGGGTTAGATTCCCCGCGTTGGACATAGAAGATAGCCCAATGTGGGTTTGCACTAAAAAAACAATAACAAATCTATATAGTACGATAAAATTTGAATAAATTGTTAAATTTGTTAAATTTTAAACACAAAGCTACACAATGGGCTATCTGCGCTATGCCTACCACAAGTATCAAAACCTGCTGTCAAGCGTTGTAAGTCAGCAGACATACCGCTGTGCCACTGGGGGCAGATTATTAAAACTGCTGTAAGATAAAAATAATTGAAGCCAAAAGATTATCACATGATTCATTTTTGCTTATATAACAATTTGTACTATTTCTTTGTATATTCAATTTATGCTAACATAGCTTTATTTTTCAGGTTCTTCTCTTTAACCTGTGATAGCTGGAACTATCTGATATCTTTTGTTTAGTATTATAATCATACTAAATACGTCTTCCATGATGTAAACTGGTTATCTTTACTGAAAAATTCAATAAAATCATTTGATATTTTGATCACTGTCATGGAGTCCTGTTATTATTATAAATCAGACGTTTAATGTTGACACCTTCACAAGCGACAAACCACTCTATAGGGAAACAAACAAATTTGTTTATGTTTTCGTTTTTATTGCTCGTGATAAGTCATCGTGTTTTGTTTTGTTTGTAATTAAGCACAAAGCTACACAATGGGCTATCTGTGCTCTGCCCACCACGGGTATCGAAACCCGAATTCTAGCGTTGTAAGTCCGCAGACATTCCGCTGTGCCACTGGGGGGCATAAGTCATTATGAGTAACCAGTGTTTCAGCAGCAAGTTAGAGGTCTTATATCGCTAAAAATCGTGTTTCCACACCAGATAGCCCATTATGTGCTTAACTCACACAAATAATATATTATAAAGACGCATAAACATGAAAGTTGGTGCGAAATAGTGTATGTTCATATTTCCTGTTGATACTGGCGGCACAGTTTTGATTCTGTAGGCTATTCTATCACACTTCCTGTATAATATTTTTGAGTTGATAAGAATAATGCTCTGTAAGAGATATATTATTTGGGGAGCCTTTTTTTTTGACAGATGTTCTAGAGAGGTGGTTACCCCTCGGGTGGTCAAAGGTGAACTATCTCTCTTCACCCATTTCGGGAAGCTAAGTCTTTTCAAGCTTTTTATACTACGTTCATTAACCAGTTTTTACAAAATTGAAACTGAAGGCGACTGTGTATACAATGGTGAAACTAAAAGAAATTTAAGATTAACAATAAAAGACCATAAAAGAAATGTTAAAAATAATAAATGTAAAAACTCTGCATTATTTAAAAATGTAAGTAATACCGATCATATCATTCATAGGGAAAACTATTATTTTGCCTCAACCGTATGATACAGCGGTTATAAATATTAGAGTATCAATAGAAATAAAGGAACACATTAAAATAATTATCATTTCTTCAAATAAGGATGAAGGATTGGCATGTTAGAAAGTATGTAGATGGCGTGATCTTTAAGTTCAGTATGTAAATTTACTAGCAGAACTGGGTCACATGATTAATGGGATTGGTATATATGGTTTGCACTGTTTTTGAATTTACACTTCTGAAAATGACATTATTATATGTTGATACATGTAGATGTATGTTTCGAGACCTTTAACAATCTCAGAATAAAGTTTTTAAACTATACATTTAAAAAGGTTGATAGTTTGGATGTTTTAATTATTTAAGATGTAATACTAATAGTTTATCTCATTAGAAAACACAGGTCATGTCAAACTATACGTTTCTCCAATGATATCTTCTTCAGACGAGCTAGAATGTACAAAAGGAGAATGACCTTTCTCAACATTTAACTAGGACAACAGAAGACATGTTCAGACTGCAGTACACAGTAGTGTTGACAGTGGTTTTACAAACACATCTATGTCTGAGTGGTAACCTTTTGTGAATAAAATCCATTGTACTTTAAACTAGTTTTAACAAACAATCTAGAATGAAAACAAGGAATGCATTGCTTGTGAATAATTGTCTCAATGGTATCTGTTTGAGATAGAGGAACAACATAAAAATATAATGAGATTGTGGAATTGTTAACCATTTGGTTTGATAACAGCATTCAAAATAAGATAAAGATCTCTTGGGAACTCTTAAGAATATCAAAAGATTTCTGAGACCATAAAACAGGGAAAATTGGATAAATCAGCCCATCAATGGCTCTGCAAAATCAGAGATAAGTGAAAGCAAGTTTTATCACTGGTTTAATCACAAGAAATGCAAAAACTTAGGTTATTTCCCCCAAATCTAATCCATTAATCGTTACAGAACGCGTAGTCTAGGTATTAAGTTTGCATTAGCTGCCAGTATATTCTAATGTACTTGATATATTTTCGTATGTGTATGTATATATTGTATATATATAATGTCTTAGTCAAAATGTTTGTAAACTGTTCTATATTGCATGGAGTAGTTATTGAGCAAATTCTCATGTAGTAACAAAGAAGGTAAATAGATCATCTATATGGAAAATGCCTTTTAAAAAGAAAAACAAAATACTGCGATTTTAAACGTTATTTTACAAATGCAGACAACTGTCGTTCCTACTTGGTTTCATTCTCAATAGGGAAGCAATGCCAAAATGATAAAACACATGTGAGTGTTAAACATTAGAAATTCTATATTCGATGTTAAATAACTATTGATTCGAGCTTGTTGTTTAGATACAAATATAAAAAAATAGTTCGTGTAAAATAGGTTTGCATGGTTCTTTCTCAGGGGAAATTTAAAGGAACTTATGGTTTTAAATATAACTAAAAAATAACCGTGGAAAACAGGTTGTGACGGGGTTTTTAAGCTGATTTCTTTTTTAGCTGAAGATTCTGACTACCAATAAACTGCAAAAGAAGAGACATTCAGAGTTTAGGTACATCGAACCTAAGCATAAAGTTATCACTTGCTTGAAACCAGGTGTTAATTTTGTTTTAATGTGAATGCAACTGATTTTTGACCTTAAAAGAAACAATAACAGAAACACAAGGTTAACGTTAAAAAAGTAATTAGTTCTAAGTTACAAATGGACAAACACTTTGTAATATTGAATTTAAACTATTTCAAGTCCTTTTCAGAAAACATTTGTTAAGTTTTTAAATTCTTGAGCAAAAGTGGCTTCAATATAAATGGGAACACCAAAACAATAACTACATTTTTCTTTTTCGCCCCCTACTCCCCAGTGGCACAGCGAAATGTCAGCGAACTTACAAATCTAGAAACACGATTTCGATCCCCGTGGTTGGCAGAGCACAGATAGACTATTGTTAGCTTTGTGCTTAACTACAACCAAAGAAACCTTTTCTGTTCCCAATATTTACCGAACTTTTGTCTTTCTTACGATGCTTGAGGTTACAAAATGTACCTGTGTATTTGCTTATTTCTGATTTTATTTTAATGCCATTCAATTCTGGAGTTAAAGTCAAATTAACATATTTGGAAATATTCTTGACTTACAAGAGTAATAAACATGAAAAGCACACAAAACGTTAAACTTTGTTTTTTACTATCTTATTATAGGAGAGATTTTTGCTAGTGAAAGTAAGAATATATGACGCAAGGTTACAATTTAAGAGAACAAACAATAATAGTCATACAGAGAAATAATATGTTTTTATTCAGTTTCTTATCCAATGTAACTAATATCATCGAGACAGACTCAATTAAAGAAAAGAAATAAATGGTTTTGTCTGTTCATAAGAGAATAAAGGCAACCTGAAAGAAAGCAAACAAGAAAAATATTAGTATAACGTCAATATACAGACAACAGTAAGGTAAAAAGATTTATTTGGTCAGTTCTTTGGCCGGATAACTCTTGATCCATTAAAAAGACTTTAACAAGTGTATTTGGATTTTTAGATTTCGTTAAAAGCAAACGTGAATTAACGGTAATTGATGTTTCAGATAATTTCAAATTTCATGAATTTTTGAGGAGAAATTATTGAATGGATCTTTATAGATATTTACTCAGCACAGAAATATTTCAAGATTATTTCATCTTATCACCCTACTTCCAGTTTATGTGGAAAAGCTGATTTTTATTTCACTTCGTTTCCTATTATTGTCAACTTTTATAACTTTTCCTCATTTAATCACGAAAGATGATTATGACCTAACTGAAAATATACTAACTTCTGTATATAGTAGCCTTCTACTCCTCCACATCAAATTCATCCGGCTTTTCTCTCCTTGGAAACTTCAATTCTTCACCTATAGAATAAACAATATTCCTACAAGATTCTTAACGAACGTTTTCTCGAAAGTCTTTCAATGTCAACAAGTAATCTATAGTTGGATTTAAAAAAAGCAGTACAGCACGGTCAAGATATACAGGAAACCATTTAATTGATCAGATTAATTTGTAAAACAAATATCGGTATTATACTACTTAAACATGAATTTTTAATCAAAACACTTTTAGATGCAATAAATCCTTATACATGTTCCTTTCATTCAACTTTTCATTCCAGATACTAGGATAAAACAGAATATTTTAATTAGCCTATTGTATCATGTTGATAATACATGTCTAGATCCATGATACACAGCGTTACAATACAATACATTACAATTAAAAGCGAGTTTTCATTGTTTTTTGTTTTTACATCGGAGTAACTAAAAAAATCAACTAAATCCACCAGAATATAAGCAATTGGCCATTGGGGGAAACTCAGCTTTTATACGAAATTTCACTTTTCTAATTATGTAGATGACCTACAGTATAATTTCGACCAATGATTTACTTTTTCCAAAAGGTAAACAAATGGTCCTTGAATACTCTCACCCTTTCTCTAATTTGATTAAGCTCAAATGAAAACATTTCGAATTATATGTTTAGAAATACTGGAATGAGAGCAATACCCTCGCCGCCAAGCACGGATAATGAATATGAGTTATGACAATCGGTTTGTAAAATATTGAAAACAATTATTGCCTTATTTGTTTTAAGCATCAAAATACATTCTAAATATTATACATTTTTAAAGGTTTCACACATTCTTCTTATTATTTTTGCTTCATTTCTTGAAAACACGTAATTACTTTATATCGAGCAAAATGAGTTGGTCATATTAAATTAGAGTACACATTTGTGAATTTAAACAATTTTTTATTTCATTTAGTCCAATTATTACTTCGCAAGTTGTTATATATATATATAGCAT